TTCTTCGAAAGCGGCGAGGAGTCCTGTGGCACCTTATAGACTAACTGAAGTGTAGGAGCATAAGCTTTCGTGGGCAAAGACCCACTTGGTCAGATGCAGTCAAATTGTGGAACTCTTTACCAAGGGATGGTAGAAAGGCCCGAATTATAGCAGGGTTCTAACAAGAATGATATAAGTTCAAGAAAGGTAGGTCCCTTGATGGTTACTAGCCAGAATGGGAAGGGATGGTGTCCCTAGCCTCTGTTTGCCAGAAGCTGGGAATGGACGACAGCAGATGGCTCATGATAATTGCCTCTTCTACTTATTCCTTCTGAAGCACCTGGCATTGGCCACTGTTGGAAGGCAGGATACTGGGCTAGAAGGTCCTTTGGTCTGACCACTTGCTGTAAGCCACTAGAACCCACTCCCCTTCCAGAGCTGAGATAAAGCCCAGGAGCCCTGATGGGGTCTGTCTCTCTTGACAGAGTTAGTAACAAAGTAAGAAAATACATTAAAGCCGTGGTCACCAACCCGTCGATTGGGGGAATATTTAAATAGAGAATATATATATTTTTTTCTGCCTTGCATAATAATTTTCCAACAATATTTTTGCAGACATTTTGGTAAAATGACAAGAAAAAGCTATATCCGCATATCTATATAAATGTACTGTGTGATGAAATGCTTAGGTAACTCTTGTTGCCCATGTTGTATATTTTTATTGCTTATGGTATACATTAGGGATGTAGTAATGCAAAGCTTATCCGTTAATGTTATAACAGCGTCATAACACTCCTGCACCCCCCTCACACCCAAAACCTGAGCCTATCATATACCTGAACCCCCTTTCCTGAGTCCCTCACATCCCCCCCCCCCCCCACACCCAAAAGCCTGTGGCTTGCTTAGTACCCCAAACCTCCATCTGACCCCAACACTGCCCGGCCTGGAGGCCCCTCTCTGAGCCAGCGTCCCCTTCTCCACCTCTTCCTGCATCCATGTTTCCTCCCAGAGCTTGCACCTCTCACTCCTTTCCACACCCAAATCCCTCATTCTCACTCCAGAGCCTACATATCCTGTCTCAACCCAGCGAGGGTATGGCTAGACTGCAGGAGTTTTTCAGGATTCCAGAGATATCCCAGAAAAACTCTTTGCATCCAGGGATGCGTTTGTTCTTCCACTTTTTATAACGGAAGAGCAAACATGCTCTTTCAGTAACCACTGTATTCCTCTTTCCACAAGGAATAAGGGGGCTTCCAAAAGAAAGGGTTTTTCTGCAAGGTGTGTTGTGAGCAAGACACGAGAAGTCATTCTTCCGCTCTACTCTGTGCTAGTTAGGCCTCAGTTGGAGTATTGTGTCCAGTTCTGGGCACCACATTTCAAGAAAGATATAGAGAAATTGGAGAGGGTCCAGAGAAGAGCAACAAGAATGATTAAAGGTCTAGAGAACATGACCTATGAAGGAAGGCTGAAAGAACTAGGTTTGTTTAGTTTAGAAAAGAGAAGATTGAGGGGGGACATGATAGCAGTTTTCAAGTATCTAAAAGGTTGTCATAAGGAGGGGGGAGAAAACTTGTTCATCTTGGCCTCTGAGGATAGAACAAGAAGTAATGGGCTTAAACTGCAGCAAGGGAGGTTTAGGTTGGACATTAGGAAAAAGTTCCTAACTGTCAGGGTAGTCAGACACTGGAATAAATTGCCCAGGGAAGTTGTGGAATCTCCATCTCTGGAGATATTTAAGAGCAGATTAGATAAATGTCTATCAGGGATGGTCTAGACAGTATTTGGTCCTGCCATGAGGGCAGGCGACTGGACTCAATGACCTCTCGAGGTCCCTTTCAGTCCTAGGATTCTATGATTTTATGATTCTGACATTTGATCCAGTCTAGACAGGCCAAATGTTGGAAAAACCTGTTCCTACAGAAGAATTGGGGAAAAAAAGCATCAGTATAAGGATTGGGGATAGCAAGTGATGGAGAGAAGGAGAATAGAGAGGGCAGGGCTTCAAGGAAGGGGTGAGGTCTTGGGGGAAGAATGGAGCAGTAGATCCTGGCTTGTTCTGTCATTTAGCTGCCTTGAATATTTTAAATAGGCAGGGTAAAAATATTTAAATAAATAAAATAAATTTAAAAAGTGATCTTGGGTGTAAAAAGGTTGGAGACCACTGCATTAAAGGTTTAAGGCTAACCAGTGTCCCTTAAGTGACTTGCTACAAGATGTCAGAATATGTTAGTGTGAATGAAGCTAATATTTATTTAATTTTCTTTCCTTTATATAGGCATTAGATACAGTGCTCCTGTAAGCTAGCTGCTAAGTTGTCTGCCAAAAAAAGTAAGAATTTTCCAGTGTCTTAGTAGCCCCAGGATAGAGATAATGCATGCAGGAGCAGCCCTAGACGGGCTGCCAGCAACTGATGCCCTAGGCAAAACACGCGATCGGTGTGCAATTGGCACCCCCCACTTCCAAAGCCCTCAACGGCCGTTTATCTTGGTGCCCTAGGCGACTGGTTAATTATGCAGCAGAGAGGTGAGTGCAACACCTATCATCAACCTTCCCTAGCAAATGCACCAGAGCACTGGGATCAATTGAGTCCATCCTGTTGTTCTATGTGGCAAATGGAACAGCTTCTAGGGAACCAATATTCTATCGCATGAGCCACCTGACATGGACACAGCAGGTTTAATGGACTCTCATTTCAGGCATTCTGTGACTCCCCCACCCTAACTGCCTTTTTTCTGATGTAACTTATTTCATGTGCTGACTCATATATCGCTCTTTCCCCACCTTTATATCCTTGTGCCACCCCAACACAGACACATTGACACCAAAAAAGCTTAAAATATCTGGGCCTGATCGATTGCTATGACATTTACAGTATTGTAAACAAATATTAGCGGAAATGCAGACAATGGAGTTGCACCTCTTTGAAATTGCTGTAAGATTAGAATTGGGCTCATAGTTTAGATAAAGGAAGAGTCCCAAAATAAAATATATAATTTATTATGAACTAACTGAAACAAACCTGTATATAACCTTTGCCTTCCCATCTTGCTGTCACCACTTGCTATGATTTGTGCTCATGTTAATGTAAGACATCCAGATATCACAATAAATACTTATATTAATAACAGTTATTATGCATACAACTTTAAACTCTTAAGGAAACCATCTGTAAAGCAATTAGCATATTCATTGCATGCATAAGTAATAAATATATGTTCATAAAAATAGTTCTTCTGCTGTGAAATACTATTAGGAAAAAATTAAGATCTTTAATATATTCAGGTATTTTCTTTCAACAGATATTTACTTGTTTCCAGTTTTGCTTTTAAAACTTCAAACAAGTTACCACTAAATTGTTGGCTATTTTTAATCCCACTGCTAACTATTTCTTGATTGTGTGGCTGAAAACAGCCAGAAGTCATGTCTTTATCAATGATGTTATCTGGAGGTCTGCTCCTTATCTGCTTCTACCATAGGATACTGAAGTTTGACCAAGAGCTGTTTTCATTAATGAAATTTAATTGCCCTGCTTTGTTTCCTGACAGGAAAACAGCTGAGGAAACTACATTTTCCACATCCCCAAAGGCCAGAGCTGGTCCAGCAATTCAATGCAGTAAGAATGGAATCCTCGCCAGTCTTATAGGCAGCAAAACATTCTCATTGTGCTGTAAACCCTGAAATTGTCCTGCCAAAGAAGAGCTGGAATTTTTTTTTCTAATGTGCTCCCTATTCTTTTTAAACTAAATCTGGAAATGATATTTCCTTAGTTTCCAACTCTGCAAAATTTTCCCAACACGAACACTGATTAACATCACTCTAGAATTTGCTAGAACAAGGAATGTAGGTTAAGATTCTTAAATTGGAGCCATATCATGGCATTCGTTTTAAAACAGAATTCCCTATTTATGTGACTGAGGAGTGCTGCACAAATTTGATGGTAAAATATAATTTTATATAGGATACACTATATATACACACTTATTTAAGCAATTATACAACTTAACATATATTAATTCAGATTTATTTTTACTTTTTTTCTGTTATGTGTGAAAATGTTGAATGATGCATTTCTTCTTTCATAGAATCATAGAATACTAGGACTGGAAGGGACCTCGAGAGGTCATCGAGTCCAGTCCCCTGCCCCCATCATTTATAAGAATTAATTTTAGTAGGATTTGTGCCCGCATCTATTTGGGTGAAAATTGGAATCAAATTATGCAACAAAAACAGCATTTTAAATTTGTTTTATTAATTAAATAAAATGACCTTAAATATGCTGGATACATAAGAGAAAAATATTTCTCAAAACATGTTTTTCATTTAAAACTAATTGATCTTTTAAACAAAGGAAGCATTCACTGTTGCTAGTGAATTGAGCTGATTGTTACTGGTTACCATGTCTGTCAGGATTTGAGAAATAGTTTATTTTGAAGGAACTAATCGAATAAACTGAAATGAAGGAAATATTCTCTTTGTACCCGCACAAGAGGTTACTGCTGGTTCCAGATACCTAGGGAGTAACTTCCATCAATTCTGGGATTTTACTTCTTTAAAACATTGACCACAATCGTATGGATTTTTGATTCAATATTTATGATTTTAATAGATTGTAATAAGTTTATACCTTAACTAAGGATGTGAATGGTTAACCAGTTAACGGGTAGGGGCTGGAGCAGCTCCCCGCTCACCACGGGCAGGGGGCTGCTCCAGCTCCACGGGGCCCACTGCAGGCAGGGGCTCCTCCGGCCAGCCAGAGCAGCCCCTGTCTATGTGGGGCCCAGCCCAGGTGGTGTACCACAGGCAGGGGCTGCTCCAGCCAGCTGACGGGAGCAACCCCTATCTGTGGCAGGTTTGGCCCAGCTGACTAAAGCAGCCCTTGTCTGTAGCAGGGGGTGCTCCAGCCCAGTGTACAGCCCCTCCACCTGTACCTTGTAAATTTAAATAGGTTTGTTTTAAAAATTAATTTTATTTCATTTTTAAATAATTTTAAATACATCATTGGGCTTTTGTTCATGCTCCTTGTGAATAGCTGGAGCTGTTATGCAAACCCTTGCTTATTTCAGTGGTTTGGGGTGAGTAGACTTTTAATTGAGAAATCCTTATAGAATCAAAGTGCTGCATTATCATCAGTTTTGGTTCATCTCAACACACAACACTGAATTGTGCAAGATGTGGAAACCAGGCAGGAGTGTCTAGATGCAGCTTGATTAGCTGAGGACTAGGAAAAGAACAGCATCTTGAATGCTTACTACTTATAAATAAATGCCTTAACTTTTTTTTCAATGGGGGTGGATGTTTTTTGAAAATCTGATGTGTGTCACTTCTTAATTCTAATAAACATATTTGGGATGGGGGGAAAACATTAAAATTATCTCTCCCTGTGCACCATCCTGACTGCTGAGATTGGCTAAGGTGCTGCTGGTGATTTCCATTCTTGGTGGTGGGGTCTCAGCTGCAGATTACATTCCTCTGATGAGCCACTGGAGCCTCTTCATGGTGCAACATTTACCTGTTATAGCAGGCATGTATTTCATTTCGTTTAAAAGGTAGGGATTTTTTTTAAATAGAGAAGGGCATGTGAGAGTGGTGTTGCAATTTGCTGCTGCTTATCTTCTATAGTCAATCAGAGCTGAAATCTTTTTGTAATTGTGTAATCTAAAACAGGGATCAATGGGTGGGTTAATATTTCTGGCCATATCCTCAGCTTTGGTGTATAAGTGTAGCTCCATTGATATCAATGGGCCAGATTCTCCATACTCTATAAACACTTATATGAGTGCAAAGTGAATGTACAATACTACTACTAAATCAGAAGGATAAACATTTACACCCCCTTTGTGGAATGTATTTCAACAGGATTGCAAAGAGCCTTTTTCCCCTCTGTGTCTGTAATAGCTTGTAACTACCAAACACTATACTCACAACTGACCTGACAATTGATACTGCCAGTTTAGAGAAAAGGAAGTAAACACAAAAATAATTATTTTTAAGCTCTGTCAGTAACAGAAGAATCTTATCAGCTTGCCAAAGCAAAACATGGTTATGCGGTATTGAGTCACTGATTACTACAAGTACATGAGTTGGGGAGAGCTGTTCTCAACAGTTTATATACAGGCAGTCCCCGACTTACGCGGATCCGACTTATGTCGGATCCACAGTTACGAACGGGGCTGCCCCAGGGTACACGGACTGCGGGACCTCGCGGTCCTGCCGCCCGTGTACTCTGGGGCTTTCTCTGCGTCTCCCTGGTCTGCAGACCAGGAAGACGCAGAGCAAAGCCGCGGAGGGGCTCAGGCAGCCGGGCAGCCCAGGCACGCCTGGGCTGTCCCGCCGCCGGCTTCCCCCGCAGCTTTGCAAAGCCACGGAGGGGCTGGGGCTCCGGGGCAGCCCAGGCGCGCCTGGGCTGTCCTGTCCTCTCCAGCAGACCAGGGAGATGGGGAGCAAAGCCTCGGAGCACGCCAGCAGTGGGACAGCGTGGCGCGCCTGGACTGTCCCGCTGCCCGCGTGCTCTGCGGCTTTGCTCCGCGTCTCCCAGGTCAGCAGACCAGAGAGATGGAGCAAAGCCGTGGAGGACTTGGGCGGTCCCGCCACCCCCGTATCCCTGGTCTGCTGGGGGAGGGGTGCAGCTAGTGCCCCCCCCAGCAGACCAGGCTTTTCTTGCCTACCCCTGGGGTAGAGCAGCTGGGGGCTGCCGGGTTGGTCCCGCAGCGCCACTCCGAACCAACCCGGCAGCACCCCAGCTGCTCTGCCCCAGGCGTCCTGATTCAGCCGCTGCCGGGCTGTTTCAGACGCGG